CCCGCGTACTTGTATAAAGATGCGTAAACTACCTTTTTAAAAAAAACTGAAGACTTTTCGTACAAATTGTGGAAAATATTTTGTATTGAATTTCTCAAACTTTTGAAGTTTGAATGAATTATATATAATGCCCTCTCTACAACATATAAATCGCGATGGTACAAGGAGCTATCAAAATTGGACGAAATTGCTTATGCATATAAGGGTGGGCCGAAAAAATTTCTTTGTCTTTTTTTTCGAATGGTATACCATAGAAAAGTTGTATTTCACTTAGTCAAATATAAAGGCAAAAATAAATGCAGTAATACCCCGAGCTTACGTGATAGATGATAACCACGTAAGTCGGAGTATAATTTAGCATATAAATATTCATGTAAATTATTTTTAGTAAGGGACGAAGACGAAAGAAAATAATAATGAGAAAAAAAAATGTTTCAAAATACCTTAGATAACACAAATACAAAATCACGAAACGAATTTATTTTGATGTGAGAGGTTTCATAAAAACAAAGTAGATTTTTTTCCCTCGCAAAATTCTCTCGTTGCACGCTAATAACTTTTTTAATTCTTTGTTAGGTTGAAAAATATCTTTCTTTTGGAGTCCATATTTTCTAAAATTCATAACCCTTTTGATAACTAGCGATTTTCTGGAGAGTGAACTTGAATGATGCGTTTTAAAAAGCTAAGCATTGTTACGATCCGGTTTGTAACGCTCGTAACAATGGATCGGAATTTTCCGTAACAATATACAGTCCTTCAACACTTGTTATATGTATGAGAAAACACTTTCTCAACAATTGGTATATGTTGCGTTATCGAGAGCAACACGTCTTGAAGGACTTTACATGGTTATATATAGGAAATTCCGATCTAAAATTCTTCCATGGCCTAAGAGAATGTACATCGCTCAGAGATCTACAAAATAAATTTAAAAGGTTATCACAAAACAAACTTAAAACAATCAAAGATATTTTCACAAACTTCATTTCTACAAAAAAAGTGATATCAATATATTCTTTAAATTATCAAAGTTTACGTGCACATGATTTGGAATTTGATAAAAGTATTATGCAAGATGTTATTATATTACTTTTAAAAGAAACTTGGATAAATAATGAAGAAAACATAGATGTTCCAAATTTCAATTGTATTGCTAAATTCCAAAGACACAATCACAGAGCTGGTGGAATTGCTATACATAAAAATAAGGGAGACACGACAACTTATGTCACTTGAGAAATGGATGTAGCATCAAATACTACTGAATCATTTGGGTTTAATGAGTCATGTATCGGAGAAATTTGTGCTACGAAATGTAGAGCAGAAAATGGGACAAATAATTCTAAAGGTTACTATTTATAGTTCACCAATTTAAAGTGTACAGAAAATTATCGAATTAATTCACAAACGTTTAGTTGCGTACACTGTGAAGCCGGATGAAATCTTTTGAACAAATTGCCTATTACTTTAAGAGGGTATTTTAATGTAGATTTTTCAAAAGACAAATCAATGCCTTTAGTAGAACCTTTAAAACCAAATTTCCTTTTAATTGCGTCAAATGATCCAAAACAAAGCCCGACAAAGAACGGAACAACGTTTGACGGAGTTTTTCTTACATATTTAAATCCTTTTGAATCTATATAAAGTATTTATAACCTATTTCAGCTACCATAAACCTATTTTTCCTTCTTAGAGTACAATTAAGTCACAAACATGATTGTGTATTGCGTAAACTATATTACTTTATGAGTACAGACATATAAATAAATAATTTTATATGACAATACTAATGTCCCCCTGTTTTTTATTCACCTAGCTAATCCCTGAAATAACATTACAAAATTTGAAGTTATCACTTCAATTGAGTGGTCATAAGCACACACTTTTTTTTTCAAAAGACCTTCAGTCAGATCCCTAACCAATATTCGATCTTCTCAATGAAATGCGTCTTAAGACTCTAGTTTTTCAATGTGCTGCTCTGTTTATGTATTTGTATGAGCTCATCATTTATCAGCTCCTGATTGTAGAAATCCAGCAGCTCCTGAAGATCATCAGTGTTCACTTTTAAATTTATTTGCCTTCCCAAATCGATAGCTTCTTTAATCACATAACCAATATTATCAGGCTCGGTCACTTATTTCGCCTGAGTTTCAGTTTTTTTCCCCCAAAAGAACAACAGACAAAAGTGCTCAAATAAAAGACGAATAAATTTTCTTGCCAAAAGTATTTTTTTTATTCGTAACCCTTATGATGCTAATGTTTTTTACTGGTAACTGGTTAAGTTAGTTTGGAGACTGAATTAGAAATTCATGCATAAAAATTTGTGGAGCAAGCCACCATCTACACCTTATTATTTTTAATAACTCATTTTCTCTTCAATAATGTGAAAATTTTCTGTTTCTTTTTCCAGAGATTGAAAAATGCTTTTCTAAACCGCTACAAATGCAACGTGATCACAGTTGTGTGGGGACAGACAGAGTCTTCCTACGAAGAAGAAAAAGAACACCTTCTAGCCATTGGAGTTGATGTTGTGTTTTTTATTGCAAACTTAGTGGTAAATTTCAGTACCCATAGTTGTATTTCAATTACATTTCTCATGTTTCAAAGCTTTTTATTTTGAGGAAGGATTTGATTGTTATCATAGAATGCTGATGGGGGAATTAATAATGAAAATACAGACCTTCGACATTATTTTGTTTTGTTTTCACTGCAGTTTTTTTTTGTCTTTTTTATGGGTATAATGTATAAAATAAACATATATTAATTTTAAAAAAGGTGAGCATAATTAATTTTTAATGCATAGCAACTATGAATTTAAAATTTATTTTATGTGGTTTATAAAATATATTGAAAGATGAATCTCTATGTAACGAATTTTCCATATAACGAACTTTTTTTCGGATTTAGTGTCTTCGTTATATAGAGGTCTGACTGTATTTCCATGTTTTTCTTCATCGCTCTCATCTGAGCTTCATTCTCCTTCCAGTATACATGACTTGTATGTTTTGTTTGCAGCATTCTCATCATCCGAGAGATCACTAAATTTTGATCTAAGTTCAATCTGATTTATTCATCAATTGCAAAATTTCTTCTTGTGTAAGAACTTTTCACCTCTTAGACACCTGAAAAAGATTTGGGATAAAAAAGCCAGCACAATATTCCATGAAAAATAATAAAATGAATCAGAAAACTTTATTATTTTAAAAAAAATAAAATATTTAAATCTCACATACTAACTCCCGCCAAAAAACCCAGATTTTTTTTTGAATTCAGGGGGAAGAGATATATGGATGCAGATATCTGTGTAAAGGATGAAGATGCCATACCCCTCACCAAATGTGTGAAAGTGAAAATTAATAGCAAAAAAAGAGCCAGAGGAAGAAGAAAACAGACTCGTCCATGGCAACTCTAAGGAAATATGGTTTTAATTATATAACAATATATTTCGTTTTTTTTAGGGTTCTATCAAAATTATTGAAACAGATAAAAGGACTCACATGGCAAGAACTTACCTTGCAGTTACTCAAGTAAAGTTCAATCCGCACGATCGTGCGGATAACGGAACCCCGAGTCCTACAAGGCCTATTAATAGAGTGTATAATTTAATTTTTTTACAATTATTTTAATATTAATACAAAGATGTGCATCGAAGCAATTAGAAATATATTGATAATTACCTTTTTATGACAGATAAAAAGAAGACGTGTTTTCGTTGTTATTGAAAATAAAGCTAGACTTGCCAACTGAAAATAAAACATGGACCACAAACATTGTCTGTTGATAAAAAGTGAAACTTTTCACTTTCTGCAAACCCGCTCAATCGTTAGATTCGGGATTTTCTTACATACGACTTTTCCAGAAGCAAAAACGTATAAGAATATCTAACCCGCACGATTGTGCGGGTTGGGACTTTAAGGGTTATTCGAGCAATGATATCCTCATCTGAGTCAAGTGAAGTGACATAAACAAGATTCTTCTAATGTACTGATGAAAAGTAATCAAGGCTCGATAAATCGGAGGAAGGGGCTGGTCCACCACGCCCAGTACATCGCGTCCCAAACTTGACATTCAAGTAATTGCGCACATCATTGCTACAGTGGGATAGTGCCCCATCATGCTGAAACCGCATGCGGTTACCAATGGCGATTGGAATATAATGCAGCAGTTCTGGTAACACCTGTTCCAGAAAAATAAAATGACAATCGCCATTAAGTCGTGATGAGTAAGTATGGGTCAATAAAAAAGTCGCTGACAATAGCATCTCACACATTCACACAGAATGGTTGATACGCATGTGGTCGCGTTGCATACGGATTCTCTGTTGCCTACACACGGAAACTGGGCGCATTAAAGATATCCTCGCGTGTAAACGTCACCTCATCTTTAAATGGCACATGAATTATGAAGTCCAACTGCAGCGCGCATTGCTGTACCACCCACTTTCTGAAATTCAGGTGATTTTCATTTAACACTCCACAAACGGTCTGATGACTCACAGTTACGTGATGAGCAACAGCTCTCTCTAATGTCCCCAACCCAGCACACAACCAACCGATAACTCCATTTCTCTCTTCTTTTATTTCCCTTGCTTACGACTTGCCACGTCACTTTCGCCCATACAATCCTATCCAATAAACAATTGTTACAATATCCTGTATCTATCCTTACAGTTTGTACCATGAATTCGGAATCACCCAACATATGCACCGCTCCCCTCTATTTTATTCGAAAACTATGAAGCTTAGAGAAATTTTTAATTGTATCTTTACAGGTTTCTAAAAACATAGACCTGCAAGACATTTATCTCATAGGGGCGCTCATATTGCAGGTTTTACCGGGAAAGCGGTCAGGAGGAAATTGAATAGCTTAGTCGGTAGAATAACAGGTAAATGAGATCATTATACCTTACGACTCTCTAATCTAATTTTTTTTTGTTTTATTTAGTTCGATGTAAAAATAGTTACTTAAGCCATTTAATGGTTTTAAGAAAGAGTACTGCCGCCCCACCCAGTATGGTGGTTATGACACTTGGCTTGTAATCAAGTGGGCTAGGGTTAGAATCCCAAGTAGGGCATGGATACATCTTCGGAAAAAAGAAGTCGGACTTTCGCTTGAAATGGATTTCCGTCTCGAATGAAAAACAGCGCACTTCTCCTGTTCTATGCCGGAATCCTCGTTTGTAATAAAGTCTATATTCTTCTGTGTTTGTATTGTATGTTTCTATTCATCTATCTCTCGTCTTTCATATGTATCCCAGTATGAAACACACGCCAACAACAAGAAACACTATTAAAAACAAAAGTATTCGACCACGTGCGAAACGTTTTTTTATTTATTGAGAAATGAGGATTTCCTATTGTGCTTCAGGTATATTTAATAGCTAAGAAGAAAAAGCTAAAAAATTTTGTAAGGGGAAAAATTAGTCATTAAGGTATTCGACTACGTTCGTAATCATGTTTTTGCAAAAGGGCGTAAATGGATAATTTTCATATTTAGTGTCAGATTGTAATGCATGTATAAAATTGTTTTAAGGACATTTTGGTAAAAGAAATTATTTAAATACAATATTTCGGCAAAGAATTAACTTAGAATAACTTTTTTCAAAATGTTCTCCTTTTGTGAAAAAATGCTTCTATTATGATAATATTTTTCCTGTACATAGCTCAGATCTCTGTACAGAAGCTTAACTATGATTTTTGAAAAATTCACATTATTTTTAGAGTTACAACCCATTGAAATAATTATCGGCGTTTTTTTCTTAAAAGTTCTCCCCTCTGTTTTCTTAAAACATGGATAAACCCACTTCTATGTTATATATATTTAAAATTCTAGTTGAGCTTTTGCACAGAGATCTGAGCTATATGCAGGCAAAATATTATTATAATAGAAGCATTTTTCACAAAAGGATAATATTTTGAAAATTGGTTATTCTATGTTCATTTTTTGTCAAAATATTGTACTTAAATCATTTTTTATTGTAATAATATTCTTAAAACTTACATTATTATACTACTCAGTTTTGAAATAATGTAAAAGGTAAGTGATATCTAATTATATACAAAAAATAGAGCATTTCATATCAGTCTCTTCAGTAGAACTTCGTTTATCCAAACGCTTATTATCCGGAGAGTCAAATAACCGAACCAGTTTTTTTTTTCTTTTGTCAACTACATGTACTGTATATGAATATGTTTTCGAACAGTGCAATGGAGATTTAGAAGATTTATAGATGGCAAAAAGACTTTAATGACGACCACAGGGAGAAGTTTATCGATTTTGTCCACTCGATCCCAGAATTTCAAGAATGCGGTGAAGAAGATGTAGAGACCCGGATGACATGCGATGCAGAAGACTTTGAATTTCAAATGCTAAATGATGACGAAATTGTGACTTCCGTGCAAGAAGAATCCAACCATGTCAACGATGAAACCGATGAAGACGAAGACAACAACAAAAGTAGCAAGGGTCCATCAAATGCTGATGTGTTTTCTGCGTTACAGACAGTTATGGAGTGATACGAACAACAATCAGTGTGCTGTCGTACTCAACTACTGCTGCTGAAGAGAATCAGAGACTTTTCAGCGAAAAAACGAAGATGTATAATGGTACAGCGAAAAATTAGTGAATATTTTCCACAATAAAGGTAAAATTGCGACATATTGCACCTATTTTGCTTTTTCTTCAAGCACGTTTCCCACATGTGATGATTTTCAATATTCGTATAGAGTCCAGTTTTGTATACTGCATGGATCGCATTCGGTTTTCGGTTATCCGAACGGTGTCCGGTCCCAATTGATTCGGATAGACAACGTTTTAATGTATATGAAATCGCTAAAAAAACGTTTGCTATGCTGATGTAATATTATTGTAAATGCATTATTCCACATTTACAGTCACTTATTCCTGTATAAATCGTCGTAATAATGGTGTTATAATGGTAATTAAAAACTAAACACAGATATATAATTATATTATTACACAAAAATACCAATTATCTTAACTTTTTTAGCATCTTTTCCCGTTTCAAATTTTTTGAATGCGTAAGTATTTATCAACATCACCTTATAATTCAACATGAAGCCTATTGGTGACGAGCCTCGTTATTTTGAACCTCGGTTAACTGCAGAGGATAGCATCTCCTTATACAAACTACCACACTATGGGAGGACACTGAACATCTACAGGTTTAGAGTGCATCTACCTCTCTCTCACACAAGGTCTCGACTTCATGACACGCCAACCAAGAGTTCGTGGCCATATCCATTATGCTACCTCAACCATTTAAATTTTCCAAAAAATTGCTGGTTACGTAAAACGGATTTTAAAGTCAGTAATTGCATGTTAAAAAAAGGTACCTTTTCATAATAAAACAGTTCTAACTTTTGCAGTATTAAGGTATCCGACTAACCTAAAATAGTGATTTTTGTCAAAAATAGACGAATTTTTTTTTTATGAATTTATTTTATAGGTCGTCTTATTATTTTTGTAAAAAAACCAAGTTTAATGTGTTTTCTATTCTCTAGAGCAAAATCTACAAGCGTTTTAGTAAACTGCTTTAAACTTTAAAATGCATTTTACTCGAAATGTGTTATTTTAGAAAATGCTCAAGCAAGGACAATGATTGCTCTAAAAGTTTTGAAAATAATAAACTGAATTTTTTTGGGTATGTTCCGTATAATAGTAAAAATGTTTTAACCTTCAGATTTATCAATCACCCTTTTATTACAAAATTTACTGTCCCTTATGTGAATACAATCACTGTTTTTTAAAAGCAATTTCACATAATAACTAAGATAAAAGGCTCTAGTTTTTGTAAATATTAAAACATCACTTATCCTGAAGGTTATTTCAAAAATGAATAGCAAAGCAACACATTAAAATTGAAATTTTGTTCATAAACTTTTGTACAAAATGGTCCCGTGTATGTAATTTTTTGTAATTTTTTTCCCATTTTAGTAATAATAATTTCTTTTTATATTCTTAATTTTAGAATATTTTCTTAAAATGAGCTAAACAAATTTAAAAGCCCCCAAAAGTCCCCATAACTCCATTTTTTAAAAAAAAAGTTGTCGCAATTAAATTCCTTAAATAAAAAATAAAATTTGTGTCTTCATAAACTTAACAAATTGGTCTACAAAATTAAGCCATAAAATTTTTGACAATTTTTGACAAAATCCGCGATTTTAAGAATGTCTCTCATAAACAAATTATTTTACCTTCTTTTATATTAACTGGTTGTTAATTAATGCCATATTGTCTATTAACATAAAGATTATTGGCAACGGACCTCGTAATTCTGAACTAAGAGCAAACGTCGAAGTTCTAAACATTGGTTGAAACCAGTGGCGTAGTTACCAATGGGCTAGGCCGTGCCGCGCACTGGGGCCCTCAAGGGTCCCTCGACCCCTGAGCACCAAGCAAGCCGCACTTGCGGCAATTTCTCCCAAATTTAAATTTAAATATAAAAGGTTTCAACGTAACTATAATCATGGAAATTCAGTTTAAAGTAATTTTTAACTTGTAGGAAATTCCTCTACATTCTATATGTTGTTTGCATAGTGTTCAAACTTTACTTAGAGAAAAGTTTATATTATTTTCAATATTTTTCATTTTTCTGTAAACTGTTACTTAAAAGTTCCATGAAAAATCTTTCCATACTTACTATTACATCTTAAAAATCCTACACACGAGGCAATTCGTTTGTAGTTATATTCTGTTTTTAATAACAACTTGATTCATAGTAAGCTAGACAGAGAAAGAGTTCCCTGCTTCAATATTTCGCAATAAACAGATGTAATTGTGTTCCTCCTCCTGTGCTCTTCTGCAGATGTGTTTTTTTTTAAAAAATAATAATAATATTGAATTGTATTTTCTTGTTCATGTATATTTTTTGTATCGTATCATGTTTGACCATTTTATAGCTCTAAGCCCTCTGGTACATAAGTTCGATCCTTCCAAATAAATAACCAGGGATACACCAACGACATTTTGTAGTGTAACATCACATTTTTCCTTCCTTTTAACGTCAGTAAGAACTCGGGCACATAGGAAATGTATGGCATAAACTGTAAAACTTAAGATAGGAATATATATATAGATATATATACTAGCGGACCCGAACGACGTTGTCCTGTACATATATATTAAATTCAAAAATTCCAAAATATTTTATGAATAAGCTTTAGCTATCTGGACTATTTTGATGAAAATTTGTATTAAAAAATTATTACAAAATCTAAATTCATTACATATACAGTAGTCACAATTCAATCAATCTATAGCGTGTGAAAATGTGTATACTATAAGCGAAGTAAAATGTAGAGGCTGTGTGAATAAAAACTTAAACTAGTTTTAATTAAAGGTGAACAAGTTGAGACTCAAACTATCTTATAACAGGTATGTTTATTAAATTGTACAAAAACTTAATTTATATATCGTAATGTCATTGGATTTATAATATTTTTGGTAAATCCTTGAGGGGTATAAACAAATAAATTCGATAGTTTTCCAAGTCTGGAACACGTAACATATAATTGGCCGTGAGAAAAAAGCACGGATTTTCTAAATTTAAGCCATGGATCTTCATGGTTTGACGTTGTGACTCTTATTAATAGTCATAGCAAATGCCAAGTGAGTTGGAAGTTGTAAACGTCTAAATGGTATAAGTGAATCTTAAAGAATCATTGGGATCCGCCGTAGAAGTTCAACTTCACCTTGAAATTTTCCTTAAAAAAAAAAAAAAAAAAAAAGGAAAAATCACTTAAAAATTTAATCTTAAAAAAATCTAATGCAAATTTTTAAAAACACTCTTCTTAGAGCACATCATTAGACCTATAGTAATTATGTGCCAAGTTTTATACTTCTGGGTTGCTAAGAAGAGAAACACACACAAACTCTTTATTTTATTAGTATAGATTTCCAATAAGAAATAGTTTTAAATAAAAAACGTTCAGCCGTGTGTGTGCTTAGGAAGAGTTTAGCCACATACACACAAACAGAAGATTTTTATGTATGAAGATATACAGTATCGTGGCTTTTCTTGCCGCACATTAGCAGGTTAGTTAATTCATACAT